GAAGCAATGAGCATGAAACTGAGCAAACTCAGGGAGGCAGTGAAGGACAGGAAGGCCTGGCGCAATATGGTTCATGGGGTCACGAAGAGTCGGACACGACTTAACGACTAAACAACAACAACAACAGAATCTTGCAAATCTGAATGTGCTTCTCCCCTCACTCCCTTTATCTTCATGAAAAAGCGTCTTGTCTGAGATGCTTTTTCAGGTTACAGTTCTGGCCCGGACTCAGGTTTCTTTTATCTGAGCGTTGTCTTGGCTGTAGCTCTTCCTCCTGTTCCTCAAGGTTACTCTTTCTTCCCATTTCAGCCTGTGATTTTTGTTTTAATAGATCCACCACCAAGGTACTACTACTACTATTACTACTACTATTAATAATCTGGTTTGGAGAGAAATAGGCATTGCCACTAACAAATTCAACTTGGGCACGCAGCACCCTGAGCTTCTTGTAATATCTGGCTAATGAGATTTCACTGGAATGTAAAACCTTATAATCATATTTTCCAAACAGAACAAGAGGCAGCCGGTAACAGCTACAGATGCAGAGAAAGAAGTGGTTTTTGTTTTGAACACTATCAAAGCCAATGCTAGAGAAGAAGAAGAAAAGAAACAGAAATCTCCCAAACAAGGCACAGTGACGAGGGGGGGAAAAAATTGAAGCGTCTAAGCAAAGAGGAGGGGGGTCTCTGCCAGAACTCCAGCTTCGTCCCCCCAAACGGCGATTTCTTTCAAGATGCGTTTCCTTTGACAAAGGAGGAACAGTTCGGAAAAGATCAGCCTCCAGAGAGTTATTTACAAGATAATTAGTTTTCCAGGCCACAGGAATAGAATCGTGGGTTCCAGATATTTAATTTGCCCATCCGAATTTGGATGCTGTTTGATTGGCGACCCCCAAAGTCGTTTCACGTAGGATCCCCCCCCCTTCCAGTTCCCAATCGCTGCTCATTTTAATGCTATCTGATCTTCTAATCCCAAACTCTTTCCTTTAATGTTGGTTCTAATTCAAGGGGGGAGCCTTACAGTTGCACAGGTCTTGACTACAACTCGGCGGGGAGGGGGGGAACAGACTCAGACCCATTGGCCGTTGAATTAGACCCCTTTAATTTGATAAAAGGCTGTTCTGAACTTACTGTCTGCCACTGTTAGCTCCTTTGATTAAAACCTGCACTTGGCCAGAATACCAGCAAAGGACCAAATCTGGTGTGTTGAGGAGGAAGCAGCAAAAGAGAAATAGAATTTGCAAGCGAGCTGGACCCAGGTAGGAGCTGGGAATAAAAATATTCTTTTCACGTGCCCTGGCTAGTTCAAGTCTTCTTGGGTCTTCTTGTTCTATTCTGGACAGAATTTGGTCTTATTCTGTTCAGTTTTCAGTCTCCACTGATGGCTGGAACTCTGAGCCCCTTCACACAATTTCTTTCTAGAGAGCTCAGCGGTGAATATTCCCAAGAAACCAAGCCGATTCATCAATATATCGTTATATCGGTATTGACACCAACCCCTGCAGGGGTTGGGAC